CCAATTTTTATACACTGCAGGAAAAATGAAAATAAATATTATACTGCAAATTTGCAAAAAAGCAGCATATGCATCAAAATAAACTATTTCCAGCAGTGCAATATGAGTCCTAAGCATCCCAGAAATGACACAGAAAGTCATAAAGTCAAAGATAACTTTTAAAAAGACCAGTATAGGCCCTGAGGCCCTGATCGTAAAGAAGACTACATTTCCGCGAAAATGACGTCACTTCCAGTTTCGGGCAGGTAATGGCGGAAATGCAAAAGTTCGCGCTGACGTCTATTCCAACGTAGGAAGTGTTATGAACAGCTGATCGGATCGGCAAAGCGTGTTTCTGGAATATTATGTTTTTGTTCCTGCAAGCACTTTTTATGCAGTTTTTGCAAAGCTTTATGTGGAAGGAAACCGTGAGCTAGGACAAGTTGATGGCATAAGATGTAAGTACAACTCCTCCGGTTTCATATGCAAAAAAAATTTTTGCGCTAGCTCATGTGGTTGCAGTGCTACTGGGATTTAAAAATAGTTACGCAAAACAGAGCGTGTCCGCTCCGATCGGCTCTAAAGGGTTAAATACTCTAAAGACCACGCCTTCTTAATACAGACTGGCCTATAAAAGAGCTGCAATTGAGGCAGGCCTCTTCTTTACTGGGAAAACAAGATGGCCACCACAGAGGTAACCAGCAAAACACTTTGTTACATGAACGCTTCCCAACAAACCCTAAACACCAACTTCAAGCCAATTGCAGAAGTTATCACCATTTACAAAGATATGCTCTATCCCCACTGCTGTTCTGGATAGTCCTGATAGCCCTCAGCCAGATCATTAACAAGACTGGTCATGGATCAGCCACCATTTCTACATGGATGACATCAAGCTGTTTGCCAGGAGTGAATGAGACATTGATTTGTTGATCCCCACCACTAGGAGCAACAATATCAGAAAACATTAAAGTAGTAATAAGGAGAAGTAAGGTGGTCAGAACTGAGAGGATTGTACTACCAGAAGCATTACATTGCAGAAAATGAGGATAGTTATAAGTACCGTGGAATCCCACAGGCTATACCTTTGAAGCGTAAGGCAAGTCCTGAGACGTTAGCTTAATGGGAAGAATAATGGACAGCTACACCCTGCTGGTTATCAGATGCCCTGCTTGGACAATAAGCTGGCCATAGAAGAAAATAGACACCACTGACAATAAGACTAGAAAGCCCCTGAAGGGTTACGTGTAAAATCCAGCACCCTGAGACTATACACCAAGTGGAAAGAAGGAGGCCAGCGACTAGTGAGTGTCAGAACTACTATCCAGGATGAAACGAGAAAGAGCCATGAGTACATCAGAAAGATGGCCACAAATTATCGCATATTTTGTGAATACCTCAGGTAGCATGAACCTGTAAAATAAAAGGAGCAAGGAGAGAAACTATCATAGATGGCACAGAAGCAGTAATTGTGGCAGCACAGGAACGAGCTCTGGGTCTGAGATCAATAGAGGCTGTGGTCTACCACACCAGCAAAAAACCCAAATGCAGGCCGTATAGAGATGCCCTTGAGATAATCCAGCACATAACAGCTGAGTGCAAGATGCTAGCAGGTAGTGCATACATACAGAGTATACAGGAACATCTGTGCAGAGTATGTGCTTGTCCCAAGGTTAAGATGGTGGGTGAGAATGAATAAGATCCTGTGAGACTTTCAGATACAGAAAAGCAATCTGGTGACGGCAATCAACCGCACATAGATGGACAAGCAGAGAAAGAAGCCTGTAGTGATAGATGTAGCTATACCGAGTGATAGCAACATCAAGACGAAGGAGAATGAGAAGCTTGAGAAACAGCAAAGGCTGAGACATGAGCTAAAGAAGATGTGAAAAGTGAAGGCACCAGAGGTCCTCATAACTGGAACACTCAGGGCAGTAAACCCCAAACTTGGATGGAGAGTATTAATATATCCTATAAACAAAAGTGAGAAGATCCCATTGCGACCACTGTTGTACCAGTTCTGACTTCTCTAATTCATAATTTAAACTGATCTGTGCACAATTGCTGTCCTTAATGAAAACATTGTTCTCTCCATTGTGAGCTGACCATCAGATCCATTAAGAACAAAAAGTCTCTAACTTTGTGTTTGAAGGTTCAAGTTCAGTACTCAAATGTGGATTAGGATCTTTGGGTTGCTCACTCTCTATAGACATCCTGGAGACTCTGCTCTCTGTCTCTGTTGCTCACCTCTGAAAAAAGGAACATTGAATAAATCCCACATTGTTCTTATATATGTTCCTGTTGCTTGGACACTGAGATGACTCTATCATGGTCGGGTTCATGAGGCTGAGGCTCTGAACATGATCAAGTGTGGCATTTAAATCCTAAATCCTGATTATGGCTATGCAGGAACTTGTGTTTTGAAGATGGGCAGTGAAAATGAAGTGCTGGCAGAGCAGAAGGCACAGTTCTCTTGTCCGATCTTTCTGCACACACACACGCTGCTGTGTTTGAAAAAACAGCTGTTTTATTTTACTATTCAACAAGTGATATTCTTCACTGTGCAAATACTACATTTAAACTCTGAGCCTGTAAAGTGCTTAGACAATACTAAAATCTCTATCACACCAATTCTGATGTTATCATGCCTATTGAAGAATTTAAGCATAAAGTCATTTGAATAGAAACAGTGTCATGAAAAATTATTTGCCCCTTCCTGGGTGGGGAGGGGTATATTTGTGACACTTAATTATTTCAGCTACAACAAATTTTATAATTATATAAATGTAACCAGAATAAACATAAATTGCAGGTTTTAAATTATGATTTTCTTTATTTCAGCATCATTGGAAAGTTTTAAGGATGAATGGCCCCTTTAAGATCATGCCAAAGCATCTCACTCGGTGACATTAAATTTGTAGCCATTTAGAGGTGGCATGAACTGATGGCTGAACACTGCACTTCAGAATTTTAAAAAAAATGGTAGAATGATCAATTTTGCTCCCAGTTACAGCAAGTTGTGCAGTTCCTGAAGCAGCAAAGCCTCCCCAGACCGTCAGACTACCACAACCATGTGGGAATCTTTTAATAACTGTTAACAGTTTTAGTGACGCTGATCTAACAAAAACAGCAGCATGCTTTCTTCCTTGTACATGACTCACCTTCATGTAACTTTTCATTGCAAGCAGGACCTTACACTGCTGAAGAGTGGATGGTTTTTGTAACAGTCATTCTTCTTAGACAATCTTCCTGTTCTGTTGACTATGGCATGTAGTCAGAACTTACTGAGCAGTTTCCTGTTGAGCAGCTCTTCTTTCCTCCCTCACATCACATGACTACATTGTTGTGTGCAAGTCATAATTGAGCTTCTTAAAGCGATATGATCACCTCTCATGTAACTGACTGGTCTGGAGAAGCTTTGGAGAATGTTATGCTGCCTGTTACATCGTTCATGACCAGTTTGGTCTTGGGTCAGTCTGGATAGGCATATCCACTCAGGGACAAGCAGACCTCTCCAGGCTAGGCACTGGCACCAACACTACCATTAGGTGATGAAACCCTTGGACCCATTGTGATGCCGAATGGTTGTCTTTCTTTGAAACCATGTGTTCTTTTTGGACAATAAGGTTTTCTATTTGACATTATTGTTGATTCGTGAGTTTTGACGTTAACTAAGGCAGGTGAGGACTGCAGTTTTTTAGATGTGTTAAGCCCCCAAGCCCCCGAGGCCGGGCCTCGGGGGCTTGGGTCCTGGTTTGTGTGTTGCCGGGGTTGTGGGCGGGTGGGTGCATGGGGGCCCGGCCCTGGAGCAGGGTGCCGCCGGTGCGTCGAGCCGCCTGGGGGGCTCTTCAACTGGTGGGGGGGATGGTCACATCTTGCAGGAGCTTTCTTCTCTTC